TCAACATAGAGAAACTTTTATTTCTTTTTGTTCAACGGTTTATTGATTGATTAGAATAATTTCCAGAAACAAATTCGTTTTGTTTGTTTGTTTGTTTTCGAAAAATGCAAAATTTGAATACAAATTTTTTTGATTGTTAAAATAAAAAGTAAAAAAACGATGATGAAACACGATAAAATCAAAGATAAGAATTACTCATTGATAAGAAAAAACACGTGGTTTTTTGAAATCGTTATCGAAAAAGAATGTAAAAAAGGATGATGAAACTGATAACGAAAAAGAAATTCGTATTTGATAAAAGAGGTTTTTGTTCCAATGTTAATGCAAACATTAATGTAGGGGTCAAAAAAAATATCGAATATTCAAATTCAGTTATCGATTGATTAAATCAGAACCATGTACATTGTTTGATTTGTAATGATTTTCATATAAAAATCCATTCAATATGGATCATTTTAAATTCTCTACGAAAAAACAATACTTTCACGCTATTCACAAGCAACAAATTATTATTGAATCATTATTTTTCAAAAAACAAAAAGAAAAAACAAAAACAAAAATGAGTGAAACGATGAATCAATATGAACCAAATGATGAAGAAATGGAATTTGGTGAATATGAAATTGTAGATGAAGAAACAGAAGAACAACCATTTGAAAGTGAAAATAATCTGCAAGGTTTGCTCACGTTTGAATTCCTATTGATAATGAAAATCATATTTACGGTTTTTATCTGTTGGTCTCCACTATTTCTTTATGTAATCAAATGGATTGTACTCACAGTGATTACCGTAATGATTAGTCACTTTATCAAGTTTTTCATATTTTATCTAATACATTTTTATACAAACTATTCACCATGGTTGTTCGGTATTTAATAAAATACATTATTTTTCAATGTTTAAATAATAAAAATTTCAATATTATTCTTCATTTATTTAATGACAAAAGATCAAATCTTTAGAAATTTACTAAATCATAATTATTTTAATATTTACAACTTTTATAAACCAAACTTTACAGATTCTTCAGTTTCGATGAGAAATTCAATAATCATTTTAATATTTACAACTTTTATAGACCAAACTTTACAGATTCTTTAGTTTCGACGAGAAATTTAATAATTATTTTAATATTTACAACTTTTATAAACCAAACTTTACAGATTCTTTAGTTTCGATGAGAAATTCAATAATTATTTTAATATTTACAACTTTTATAAATCGAACTTTACAGATTCTTCAGTTTTGATGAAAAATAGATGTTAATGCGCGAAATTCTTATAATTATTTTATATTCTAATATAAAGATTATAGAGAAAATTCCTATCCAGAATTAGAATTACCACAAGATATTCCATTTTTTATTTAACCTGATTATGCAATGTCAGAAAATGACTTAAAATTACAAGATAAAATTGTTGAAACTTATCGTGATCAACCTATCGTCCTCTGTAATCTAATCCAATTGATTGCATTTTTCTCATTCATTATTATTGTATTTTTTTGAAATCAACAAATTCAATTTTTTTGATCATTGTTGAAATGAAAAAATTAATTCAAAGTTAATAATTATTATCAATCAAATATTCTAAATTTTTTTTCAATTATTTATTTTCTTAATCTATTTATTGATTATTAATTTAGACCTCAGTTTGAATCACAAGGATTTTACATAAAATCTCATGTTGAAACGTTCAATATGGATTATCTTTACTACTATAATACTATAATTTTTT